TGGAGGGGGGAGTGAAGGGTGTCCGATAGCTGAAAGAGCAGAAGAGGGAAGTCCTTTGGCAGCTAAACAGCAAGTCTGATCCTCGATCCCAGCCCCAGCTACCTCTGCCCTCAGGACCTTCACAGCAGAGCCGTGTCTAAACCTTCTGAGCTGCCCAACATCATGTGTCCCATCGTGGCCCTGGGGCTGTGGACTGCCTGTGGGCAGGCGGTGGTCTGCAGGCCAGCCAGGGACAGGAGCTTTGTTGTGTGTGAGGCTCCTTCCCTGCGGGTCAATGAAGGATCCTGCCTGGGAGCCCTCTGCACAATCCCAGGCTGTGGACAGAAGTTCCCAACTCCAGGGGGCAACCCAGGGGCCCCACTGGCTTGTGGTCCAGTTCTGCGCCTGGTTCTGCCTCAAGGCTGCAGACAGACACACTAGCATCATTTAACAAGCTGCAGTGGGCAAAGAAGCCCATTCTAGACGCCATCCCAGAGGATTCACTTTTAGCGCTTAAAAAGGTTCTAGTCTGGGCCGTATGGGGATGGGAATCACCATAATCCCACCAGCATGTGGGGCAGGAGAGCACAGCCCAGTTCAGTCTCCAGGGTGGCTCCCTCTTACCTCTTCCCTTACATTCAGGACAGAGATATGGACTCAGAGACAGTAGGAACCAACTGCAACCCAAGCCAGTGCCCCCCCAAAGTGCAGTACGGTGTCCCCGGGATCTGCAGGGGTGTGCAGGGGGCCCCAGATTGCCAACTGCCCCCCTGCACAGGGTACGCAGGAGAATCTGCTTACTGGTGCCCGGAGACCAACTCGGCTTCAGTTTCCTTCTGCGACGTGATCTGAGGGGTGTTGTGTGCCCAATGTCCACAGAGTCAGCAAAGTGTTTGGGCCGTGTGTGGCTGTGGGTTGCAGAAGAGCCTAAATGCCTAATTTCCATGCACATAAATGAACACTGACTGGCGTGTTGTCCTATGGTCACCTTCATTGCAGTTGTCAGCCGGCTTCCTGGCACAGCTTTGGCCCAGCACAATTAACACCTCCTAGACAAAGCCTCGGCATGGTTCAGGGGACAGTATGGTCCAGAATGTGTTCCAAACAGATGGACAAAGCCACATTGTTGCGGTGGAAGGAATTTTAGCTGTACGGGCACAAGACATACTGTGACACTGGACCTCCTGTCTAAGGCTTGGGTTTGTTTTATTTAGTGGCACAAGCTTAGCTGGGAGAGCCTCTGAATTTGCCTTCAGAATCAGAGATGCAGCCTTTATTCTGCCCACGCTAGAAGGACAGCAGTCTGTTACTCATTCTCCAGCCACAGCAAAAAGTGGTCTCCGTGTGACGGTGTAGCCAGCGCATATTTGGGGAGTTACAGGAGATTGCAGAGAAGGTAATAGGGAACAAGAAGGAAGCAGATGGGTTTCCTGCGCAAGGGGACAAGGGAGGGAAGGGGCTGGAGGCCTAGATTTCTCACCTTGCCTAGTGCACTTCTCCCTGAAGCAGGGAGAAGCCATGGGGGGAAATGAGGCATCAGGAGTGGATGAAGCCACTGCCTTGCAGACACTGGCCTTTCAGTCTCAATCCAGACTACTCTTGAGCAGAGAGAAGGAAAGCAGGAGGGAGGCATCACTTCACATCCTGCACAGATGATCTGTAGAGCAGTGTTTCACCTGCTGCTTGCCAGTGTGTCTCCATGTCTCCCTTTCTGCTGGAGCAGAGTTTGCAGTGCTGTTGTACGTTCAGCATCGGCTGTGGCTGGGCTGAGAGATGACTCATTCACTTTCCATCCCTGCAGCTGGCTTTTAGCCCAAGCATGCCCTCACCCTTACCATGACACTCTCCCAGGCACTAGCAATTTGAAGCTCAGGACATTCTTACATCAGACATTTGTATTTGTGTTTTATAGCCCCCCTTTTCCCCCATTCTGATCACTTTTTGACCGAGCCCTGTGGCAGGGAGTCCCACAGTACATCAAGATGTTCAGCATCTTCAAGCAAGCAAAATGTGTATCCACACCATATAGATTATCGTAGATCAAGCTCATCCTCATGCCAGGGAACTTCCCAGTGCGAACAACAGCACTGTACTAAATTTACTGAACCTTTTCCAAGAGTGGGGAAAATGTCATGTCAGTTGATACCTTTGGTCACCTTCCCATGAGCAATAAGCATGAAGGGCTCTGTGACAAAGTGTCTGCCCGTGCCTTTCCTCTTTTGCAAAGAGCATCTCAGGATCACCTTTGGATCCCAGGATGACCCCCATGGCTCACCTTTTGGAGGAAACAGCCTCGTGATGCAGTGGTTCCCCTTAGGACAGGTTCCCCATCAAGCAGGTGAGGGGGAATTCACTGTTGGTGAATGGACGGAGGCAGACAGCCAGGAAGGAAACAGAAGGCTTTGGAAAACATCTAATATTGGGCAAGGAGCAGGGTGGCTCCGGAGTGTACGTTCACATGAGTGTGGGATGACAGGGAGAAGTTTGTGACGGGGTTGGAATCCAGGCACTCCTTATGGCCCTTGCCACAGTGGGGCTCTGTGACCTTGGTATTCAGAGCTTGTTGAGTATTTCCTGAAGGCCAGGATTTGGGCTCTGCAACTCAAGTGTTAAGAGTGGTAGAGACAGCCACATGGGAATGCAAGGCTGGAAAATTATTCTGAGGAGTATGAAAGCAGGTTAAACTGTCTCAAGGAGGTGGCTGACACAGATAGGACACTTGCTGTCTGGCTTTTCACTGCACTTCACTGAGCTCTTCCCAAGAGGCCTTCATTCATCATGCAAGGGGAAGAAACCCAAGTATCCCAGACAAAGTGGCAGCGTTTCTCCTATACGCATTTTAGGAGCGTCGGAGCAGCATGTCATGCTAGAAGTGGGTCACAGGATGAGCCATGTGTGTGACTGGATGGATAATGCTTCTCTCCTTCCCCACTCCTGGGGCCAGACCCTAACCTACACCCTCTGGAGGGCATCATAGTGTAAAGCTGCATGGTGTGAGTGACAGCCTCCATTCACCTCATGACTCCCCAGCATACTACACATGGAGTTCGTGTCACTCCTTGTGCCTCAGTTTCCCACGTGCAGGGAGTAACAGTCCTTTGTGGTAGCTTTTCAACACCTCAAATGAAGAGCTGCAGCAGAGGATGATGGATGGATGGATGGATGGATGGATGGATGGATGGATACAGGATGGATGGATGGATGGATGGATGGATGGATACACAGGTGGAAGAGCAGGTGCCAGGGTTATTGGCCTCTCCTGCTAACAGCACATCTGCCGTCAGCATGCTCCTAATATGTGACAAGTAGAAGCTGAGCTGGGGGCCAGACCCTCAGCTGGTGTCAATGATCATAGCTCTGCCAGGGTTGCTGGGGGTGGGCATAGGGATTGGGGGGGGGGGGGCACATTCTCAGCTGATATAAATGAGAGAGCCTGCTCGCTGTAGGATTCACTATTTCCTCACTGAAACTAATGAGGATATGCTGGTTTATGCCTGCTGATTGTTAATCCTTGCCTGGAAGCATTGGGGGAGAGCAATCCTCTCCTCCAAGGTGGTCAGGTGCATTTGTTATTTGAGGAGGTGGTCATGCCTGTGATTGGAATCTCCTGTGTTCTCCAGCTATAGCCCAGCTCCTTAGGGACCAGGTGAGTGCATATGGAGACCTTCTCCTAGGCATGTCCTGGCTGGAGGGCCTGGTTGATCAGAGACAATATGGTTTCTTCCTCTATCTAGGCAAGACCTCTCCCAGCTTTGCCTCCTTCCATATGTCCATCCACTTCCCCAAATACTTAACGGAGGCTCCTATCTGTCCACCACCACCCCTTGCTCTTGATTATCCCTGGGATCCAAATCCATTTGGGGGCTAGCCGGTAGATTTTTTTTTTTTTTTAAACTAACAACACAGTCCTGTTAATATTTACTGGGCTCTCTGGGGTAGATCCTTTGCTGCTGCTGCACCCACTCTGGCCATCCAGCCCAAGTGAATTTGTAGGGTATAATCAAATGCAGAGGAGCTGGCCCTTTGGCTGTAATTAGTTTTACATGTATGTTGGAGAAATCCATTTTCATAAACAAGGAGGATTTATGCTCTTCTTTCTTGCCTTTTATTTTATTGTCCCCTTTGTGAATCCCATAGCACTTTGCTCTGGGCTAACAGGGAGTCATTTATGAATGGTTTAGATTGAGCAATGCATTATTAATAACAGCCAATCAGGCAAGTAACATATTATATATCATTTCAGGAGATTAGCTTTATTCAGTAAAGTTATTTCTTGCTCTAAATAAATGAGACTCCCGTTCTTCCTAACGCCTCTGACTTTTCATGGGATGGATGCGGGTGGCAGGGAGGTCAGAGTAGGGTTCGGCATTGTCCCACCAGTTCCACCCCCATAGAAAGGTTTACGGTTCTTTCTCCACCCTGGGTCTGCCAGTCTGCCTCCTCCTGTGCAGCTTCTACCAAAATTGTCCCTGCAAAGAGGCTGTGACATCAAGGCATTTGGGTAGCAGGTCTAAAATCAGGGGCGCATCACACAAAGGCTGTCATGCCCTCTTCCTCCTGCAGGCTCCCTGGGGTGGGCATGGGGAAGTCACTCCTACTTCTTGTGACTTTCCTGAGCTGTACCAGCCTGGCAGGGTACAGAAACGCCCTGCCTGAAGTGGAGGCTGGTGACTATTTTTTTTGGAAGCTCTCTCCCTGCTAGGGGCACCCCAGCTGCCACCCTTTCCTCCAGTGCTGGAGCTTGTTGAATGTTGCTCTGATCACCCTGCAGTGACTAATGATGATGAAACCCTGTTCTAGCTGGGTGACTGAGCTTTATGGCAATGCAGGACTAAGACAGTTAATCTGGCTCCTCTAGACCATTGACTTTACTGTTTTACAAGACTTTGATAAGGCCAGTGACATCAGACAAATGGAGCTTGCTCTTGTAGGTGACTACCTGCTTGCCTTCTATGCCTGCCCACTGCACGTAATCCTGTGTTAGACATCAGAGAGTCTACAGGGAGAGTGAGATGTGAACTCCCCAACTGTGGGAACAAGGCCCGCACCGGAAAGCCTGGCTGAGCTGTGGCTGGCCTTGGCCCCAGTGACCCCAGTCGGGGTCAGAGGTGGACTGACCCCCCTGCCCCAGGATGGCCTTATCTGGGTTTGGTGACAAGCCCTCCTGCCCTGCATGCTTTTCTGCCCTCATGGATTCTCCCTTGGGATTGCTCCCTGAATTGCAAGAGAGCACATCATGTGATGCTGTAGCTGTCCTGCTTGTATCTAGATTTTAATAGACACAAAAGGCAGCGTGCGGGACAGGCAGAAGGTGATGCAGCCCCCTTGCTTACCCCTGTCTTGCAGCTAAGACCCTGTCTGAATATTTCAAGACTGCTTCTGAGCCCTTCCTGGTTTGTTGGGTGCTCCCAGATGATGGGATTTGTTTTCTTCCTGTCTCACCCCGATTTCCTGAGCCTGGCAGCTCCTACCATGTCCCCACCAGGAGGAGGAGGCGGCCAGTAGCTTCCTGTGGTGAGCGGTAAGGGTGCTCTGGGGCTAATGTCAGCTCTGGGGAGCCCTTACTCCAGCAG